CACACAGCTCGCGCTCCATTATAATATATAAAAAAAGAATGGCACATAACAGCTCGCGGCCGCAGATTACTCCGGGTCCCAGACCCCCCCCATACCCCAAAAATATTTTTATTGCAGATCTACATGAATCACACAAACGACCTATTTTGGATTCAAAACGGCAAATTTCGCCGAAAGGTGACAAGTTTGCATCCCTGTATAGGTTTTACATTTTAACCTATATTATTTAACAGTTAAATAAGCAACATTTCCTTTCAAGTTTATCTTTTAACCTCTATTATAATTATCCTTAAGTTTATATTATTGAGGGGAATTTCTTGTTTTTTGTTTTAATGTATGATGTGTGCCATTTTGTAAAGCACTTTGAGCTGCACCTGCTGTATGAAAAGTGCTATATCAATAAAGCTTTATTATTAGAATTATCAGTACATCTTCTATAACCGCAATAACTTTTATCTATCAATTGCTAAAATAATGCCTGTATGTCAAGCTAAAGCCTATTGCTCTATGGCAGGAGTCACCTGGAGTTAAACAGAGCGGGGCTGCGCTGCGTGCATGGCTTCCTTCTGCAGGTAACGGGGAGACGCGCTCTGGCGGCGGTCTCGTTCAGGATCCGAAAATACAATTTAAATATTTTGCACACTTATTCCTCTTATTCCTAGTGTGTCACTGGTTACGGTGCCGCATGCTAATGCTGGCACGCGTGCCAGGGGTTGCCGACCCCTGCTCTATGGTAATAAGAAACTTACTGAGTTGCCTGTGTGTATGTTTTTAATCTGTGACCCCTGAACCTCGGCCCCAGCGAGCCCCTAGTTACACCTTCCAACCAACAGTTATGTTTTCTAAACAAATGTATTTTGAGTTCAGATGTCATTATATGTAGCTAATTAACGTTACCTTGGCCCTAAAACAAATGTTGTTCCCTGGTTAGCTGGTTAACCAGGGGGGGAAAAGCTATCTCTCTCCATTTCATGCCAAGCTTAAATCAATCTCTGTTGTTATGACATCTCAAACAATGTAAAAAGGTGAGTCAATCTTTGGTGAAACCCATCTATGCAAGTATGATAAGACTTTAGAGCTAGCAGACAGTAAGCCTCATGGCCTATAAGCTTTTTCATACCTGTATGTCAGTGTCTTTGACCGGCTCCAGGGGCTCAAACGTTGTGGCTGCACTTAGACTTTCCAACCTCTGGGAAATGTGGAAGATGTCCAAACCTCTGGAACCAAGGAGGATTGACCTGAGGGTGAGAAAAGACGCAGTTAGGGTTGAATGAATAAAATGGAAAGACTAAACTAAAAGCTAGACTGACTATGAACTGTAGTTGGGCTAGACCACCACTAGAGGGCAGAACAGGCTTAAGATTCAAGGTTCAATCCAATTACACAGGGTTAGTTTGGAGGAATTTATAAGAGAAATTAAACTAAGAATGAAGGAAAAGTTATTCCTTAAGGGTTGAATATTTTAAAATGACTCAATGAAACTTAATCTACCATATTTCATAATAGAAACAATTGAATGTTCCCTGACAGGGGATCAACATTAGGAAAGTTAATTGTAATGAATACTGTATTAATATTATCCAAGGCCACTTTCAATTTCAGATAAAGATATTAAGTGTGAAAATCAATAGGTGTCATTTTCAGATAAGTGCTATGGAAGCCATGAAAACTATGGAAAGGTACCATATAAATTGGCTTTAAAGGTCGTACCGATAAATAAATAAAACATTTTGAAAACATAATTATCTACAATTACCAGAATAAAAGGGCACATCAGTAGTAAAGTAAACAACTGTTTACCCTACAGAAGCAGATGGTTTTGTATTACGATCTATTAAAGGTGGGGTAGGTAAGTTTGAGAAACCGGCTCGAGATACACTTTTTGTTATATTCCATGGAATGCTCTAAACATCCCGATAGCAATGAATATCTTAAGTGCTTTGACCAATCATTTTAGCCGGCCCGGCTAAAATAACTGGATGGCCTACCTGCCTGTCAGCCTTCCATCTGTGCACAAACTTATCTCGTGCCCTCATTGGTCATGTGCGCGTTCGTGTGTGTTGGAGGAGGGGCTCTGTAAGGAAGTGGCAGATTTTTTCCGGCTGTGTATTTTCAAATTCTAGCGCACTCGAGCTGGTTTCTCCAAAATTACCTACCCCACCTTTAAGGTTATGTGAACACTTAACAGTAACATAGTGGTTTAAAGGAGATTTTTTGTCTATGAAGCAGGACCCTGATTGCATCAGACGTCTAACTTACGCTTTTACATCAGCAGCATCTTGCGAGGTGCGAGTCAGGGTGCGGGATCGAAGCCTCTCGCCCGCCTGCTGGATCTCCTGGAGGTTTCTCTCAACATGCGGCAGCTCTGACACAGCTTCTGTCTCGGCTGCGAGCTGCTCTGCCTGCTGCAGCAGCTCCCCAAAGCCCTCTGCATCCATACCTGTAGAGAAAGGACAAGAGTGTGTGAGTACAACACAAATCAGAATGGGTTTTACTACCACATATACATATATATTTACACATACAGGGAATTTGTTTTAGTATAATATGTGGTGCATACAAAGACAAACAAAGAAGAATACATAGCAAAACTAAATAAAATAAAAATAAGACTGTTATGACAGGTATTTAAAAAAAAATGTTTAAGACTATTATAACAAATGAATACAAAAAAGACGCTATACTTGGATTACTGCTGGGAGATTCAGTCTACAGAACAAAGTGAGTCCTGGAACTAGTTGGACAGTGAGGCTGCTTCTCTTTTTGGCTAATAGTCTGTGGTACAGCAGATTTGATCACACATGATAACCATGAGGTTAAAATGGTAAATCTTATCTTCAATCTGAGGATTAAAATGCACACTGGGTGTCCACTATTTCATACAACAAACACGACTTTACTGATACATACACATCTTGTATGCTGAGACAGATGCTACAGCTCAAGTACCCCAAACATTCATCTGCCTTCACTCCAACAGGTCTGTCCTGTGTTACATTTCACCTCGTGAGACATAGTCTTTAATAATACATATAAAGCAGTTGTTTTTGCGGTGCCGTGTATACTTGATGCTTTTGAGGTGAAGGTTTCTGGCAAAGGTCAATTTGTCACTGGATGTTTAACATCTTTATATAGTCTGGTCAGTCTTAATTTGCCCACAACCCTTTACCTTCACATCGGAATAATCAGAGGTAAATCCAAAGCACATTTCAGACAAATCGGGAGTAAACTATCTGTACCCCAGACATACAGGTGCCACACCGCTCTTGACAGCTGACAAACAGGATGACAACTACAGCGCGGGCATGGACTGCCCTGGTACTCACATTATTTTAGCACAATGCTAACCCCTTGGCTAACTAGTTTAGAAAAGGGTACATACATAACAAAGTTACAAATATAACGAGAACCTCTTATTAAGAAAACGTATTTCCCGGGCCTACCTTTCTTGTATGCTAGTTAGCTTTATTTAAAAAAGAATGGCTAGCTAGCAGGCTACATTGCTAACGGTCTCTCACATGCTCGCAGTTGCGAGAAGTTGAAAAGTGAATATTGAATTGGAGGCAGACCCACTTCCTACCTGTTGTGTAGGACTGAAGTAAGTATGTTCCTGTCTGTATTCCTCGGGTGAATGTATTTAGAGTTTAACTCTTATTCAATGTTGCTAAGCAGTAGCACAACATGCATGAAAGTACTATTTGCCCCGGCACTTCTGAGTCGATGCTGATTGGACGATACCCGGTCCGAGCCGGAAGTCGGTCTTGTTCGTCTTCTTCCGATGTGATCCATCAAACCGCGCTGCTCTGCCTGCTGGATGGGAGAACAACCAGTGCAAGGGCTGACTGAGAACATAGTTAACATAAATAATACCCCAAATTCAAACACTAGTGCAGGAACAATTATTTATAATTTCTGTGGTTTTATTTTCAAGACCTATGATTCCTTTTGGTATTAAAACATGTGATATCAAAGTTGAAATGACTAAAGGAGTTGAAAGGTTTTCAGGTTTTGGAAATGATTCTTGTAAACAAAGAAGCCATAGTATGATCTTTAGTTGGGAATATTACAATAGTCTACTTCTGCTTCTGATAAAACAAATATATATTCTAACTTTAATGCTTACAGCTTGACGAAAAAGCACATGACCAATAGTTATCAACAAAATTCCTCCATCCTCTGTGCCTTGTGGGGAGTCCCAATTTGTTTAACAAGAGAATCTTACACGTTGTACATTTTTAATACCGTTGTAAAAGTTGTATTTTATATTTTAAACTGTATTGTTGTAAAAATTATGTTTGCTTTTAGATGCATTTTGTTATGTGTCTAACATTTCACAACCACCACCAAATGGTTTACCCTTTAATTGTTCAGGGCCAGCTTGTGAGGGAACGCTGCAATACACCTTTGAGGTCAATTGTTCACATAGAGTGCAACCATAAGCGCCAAACATACTAAGTTGAGTAATATGTAAATGATTAGACTGACTTTATCATTTTTGACTGTCTTTCCTTTGTCTCTTTTCTACGAGAACCCATCGCTCTTATGTTCTTTGTAAAGTACCATAACATTGGTGTCGACACATCTCTGCAAGTTGACTTGATTTTCAGTCACTGAAAAACTCCTGAAACAAGTCTTTAGATGAGGCTAGACGTCCTTGCTGAATAACTGTCTGATGGATCGCCACATGGAGAAAGCCATAGTCATACCAATGCTCATTAATGCGTTTTACAAGACAAGACTTGAGCACCACTAGTCTGAGGCATCAATGTTTCGACATTGACGGAGTGTCTGATAATGGAGTTTATCACCTTGTGAATTAATTTTCCCTTGATCCTAAAAATCAGGATTGAACATTGCTGCCATAACAGCAAACTTTGTGTGCTGCCTCCCTACAGGGTGACAGACTACAGCAGTACATCTGAAGCACTTCAGCTCATTTTACCAAGGGTTGAAACCTTATACACAAGTTTGATTTCTTTAAGCCAAATCAAGACAGCAGATTTTCAAGGAACTGTATTTATTTCAACATCATAAACAAGTACAAAATTCACCATTCTCTGTAGACATTTGCAACAGGAATGTAGTTAAAGTAGTTCACAAAGGCTCCATTCCAAGAGCAGAAGCGGACTGAGGTCAGGCTCTTCACTGACAGCAACTTGTGTCACAAGTCTTCCCTTTGCACACACAGCCAGAGGCGCATTTGGTGCAGCCGGATGGGCAGCATGGGCAGCAGCCTGCAATAAAAAAAAAATGTGTTAAGTGACAGAACAGCAAAAAGTAATATTTAGTCCAGGGCATACACTACAGAAAGCTGCCCACTAAATCCAGGACATTAACCTATTGGTGCCCAAAGACTATATTTATAATGAAAAACAAAGAGGCCACATCTGATCCACTGGTCTAAAGCTTGAAATCTGGGCATTTATCCAACATTACATTTTTAAATCACTTTAAAAATCAAATGGCAAATCCCTATGGGAAAATGTACTAATAAAAAGGGTCAATTCCTTTCTACACTGCATGTGGGTATATTGAGAGTTAAAAGCAGATGCTATATATGGTACAGCCTGTTCTTTCCATACTATAGTTAGTCTTTAGCCACATACGGAACAGCAGTCCATTTAAAAAGAATACAACTGAAAATGTGTGCTTGGGAAAATCTGAAAATTGAGCATTAACACTTTTAGATTGCAGCTCATTATCCCAATAGGAGCCACCTGGGCAGTTGCTCGCAGCAATTAAAACAAGGGGATACCAGATACAGACTACAAAACTCCCAAAAAGCAAGTGATGAAATGTAAAGAAACTATACATCACTGACATGTTACCGTTTGGCCTATAGATAGCTGCTAAGATAATATAACATCGTGAAAAGAGTGTGAGGTTAGGCCATATTGCATATGTCTCCATCACTATGAAGGGTGAATACTATTTATATTTCAATAAATCCCTCCCCACGTGTAGAGGTATTGTACTTACTCTTCTTGCAGCTGGTGCAGGAGCAGTTTGTGCAAGTGCAGGATCCTCCGCAGTTGCAGGTCCCACCTGGAAAACCAAATAAAACCAGGTCAGCTTTATACTGTATCGTCCATAGGCAGATATCATACTATTTTTAACGACTAATGTCAAGGCGTAACCGTAAACAACACTTACTTTTGGAGCAGTCGCAGGGGTCCATGTTCTCAGGTGATGTCTCTTGTCCTCGTGAGTAGGTGCAGTGTATCTGGTCTCAGATAAGAGCGTGTTGTGAGCTCTGGAAGATGGGCGGCGCTTTTAAAGCTTTCTGGGAACAACAGAACCGGGTGCAAACTGCGCCCGTCACGCTGCACGCAGGCACGTAGTAGATGATTACAAAGACGTTTGTGCACACGACTTCATGATGAGACCTCAGAGCAGGAGGAATGTCTCTGCTCCCGAGACGGCGTTTTGTCTGAACCTTACATAAGACCCCATTTCCCCCCCTGGAAACACTAAACCTCGGAATAATTAATGTGTTTACAAACGGAGAAAAACATCAGTGGCAGTAGAACACGGGTAACAAAAGTTCATCACGGGTCTATTTCATTTTCAGAGAGTCCTTTGGGACCCTAATAACATCCGTGTCTCCCATTTTATTATTCCCTAACGTGTTCTGTCAGTAGTGATAAACGGAGCCTATTGTTTTGGAAGAAAAAAGGCTATTTTATTTTGGAAAACATTTCGGTATGCGCACATCTCTAAATACACTCATGTCAGTCATGCGCTCAGTTTGCACACGGATACGCTAAATCAAAGGTCAAATAAATGCGGATGCCTAGTCAGGATGCGATGCTGTCATCAACATTGCATTTATGTAACCATTGAACATGTTTTTAAGTTGCGTTCTTTGACAATAAAAACGCCAACTGAACTACATCCCTAAATACATAATAGCCTACATCAGCTATGGCCACTCTTGATCCAGTCCACAAAACACATTGTTCTCCTAATTTTTTTTTTTTACCCACATTTAGGGTCTGAACTGCCATAGACACTGTCCTACATTTCACCAATAAGGATAAATTATGTGACCCAAAAAACCTTAAGTGTGTCATACTGTATTATTATTATTTAAAAAAAAAAATGTATTCTACTAAATTCATACAAAAACAAAGAAGTATAATTCATTCACACAAAATGAACAAAATTAGTAGAAGCGGGAGGGCTGAAGCATAGCTTATGGACTGCGGTCAACTCAGCCGTCTCTCAAATTTGCTTGGTCAAATGAGCAGCTCTTCATTTTTGAGTGCGCGATTAATAGCGTCTTTACTGACGCTAGTACAAGAATAAAATAATGCATGTTTTTGTGCTATATTTTTCGATAAAAATATGTTTTACCATAAGTTCTTAATAAAATTGGTACTGTTGGACTCAGTACTTGTTAGACTACTACCACAAGTACAATCAAGTACTTTTTTAGTAATCCCCTGTCAAACTCCCCTCCCGAGTACAATAATGCATGTTTTCTGCCATCTTTGATGAGAGATCAAATTATTTTTTGCCACAAGTTCTCAGTGAAAGTGGTACTGCTGGACAGAGTACTACTTGGACTACTACCACAAGTACAATCAAGTACTTTTATTGTGTACTTTTTGAGTAATCCCCTGTCAAACTCCCCTCCAGAGTACAATAATGCATGTTTTCTGCCATCTTTGATGAGAGATCAAATTATTTTTTGCCACAAGTTCTCAGTGAAAGTGGTACTGTTGGACTCAGTACTACTTGGACTACTACCACAAGTACAATCAAGTACTTTCAAACTCCCCTCCAGAGTACAATAATGCATGTTTTCTGCCATCTTTGATGAGAGATAAAATGATTTTTTGCCATAAGTTCTCAGTGAAAGTGGTACTGTTGGACTCAGTACTACTTGGACTACAACCACAAGTACAATCAAGTACTTTTATCGTGTACTTTTTGAGTAATACCCTGTCAAACTCCCCTCCTGAGTACAATACTTAATGTATTCTTCTATAGACCTGGTACAGGGACAACCACTTGGAGCTTAATGCTCTCAAGACAGTGGAGACTGTTGTGGACTTTAGGAAGAACGCAGCCCCACCCGCCCCCATCACTCTGTGTGACTCCCCAGTCACTGCTGTGAAGTCTTTCCACTTCCTGGGCACCATCATCGCCCAGGAACTCAAGTGGGAGCAGAACATCAGCTCCCTCATCCAAAAAGCCCAGCAGAGGATGTTCTTCCTGAGGCAGCTGAAGAAATTCAACCTGCCTCAGACGATGATGGTGAACTTCTACACCTCCATCATCGAGTCAATCCTCACCTCCTCCATCACCATCTGGTACGCTGCAGCCGCAGCCAAGGATAAGGGCAGGCTGCAGTGTGTCATCAGCTCTGCAGAGAGGGTGTCTGCCATCCCTCCACGACCTGCACGCCTCCAGGACCCTGAGGCGGGAAAATAGTGGCCGACCCCTCCCACCCTGGACACAAACTGTTCACCCCCCTCCCCTCTGGCAGGAGGCTGCGCTCCATCAGGACCAAAACCTCTCTCCATCAGGACCAGAACCTCTCTCCATCAGGACCAGTCAACGTCTTCAGCCTCCAGCACACTTTCCCTGTACAAGGCTCATTCCCCATGATCAAAAAACGATCCCTGTGTAGTCTGAGTACCAATGACCTCATATTATGTCTCTCATTAAAGTTACATCACCCATTATAACAATAGTCTTTCCTTTATTCTCTTGTCTCTTCTCTTGACTGAATTACAATAGTCCTGTCTTTAACAAAATGTAAAGTCCTTCTACTGCACCTTTTGAAGACTCCAAAACAGGCATTTGTACTGTATGCGTTTGGAGAAATGACACAACAAATGGCCCAGATTTGTACTATAGAAACTTGAAATCTTGTAGTGCAGGACAAAATACTAATTGGCTTAGCCTTCCAGGTTATATAGGCTTTGTTTTGCAATATTTATTCAAAGGTAACTTCTTATTTAAAATATTACATTTCTGAGGATAAATACAAGCAATCATAATACTGCCTTCATCAAGAGTCATTGAAGCCCAATACGAATTGATCCTCCTAATAAAAGCTTTTCATCTGTATTAATACAGTTGACACGTGTTTTCAAAAATGAAATTAAGGGATTATCTGTAATGAACATTGTAAAATAAATCTTCATTCTGCTGTTTTATTTCAAAAGTGTTCAGAAAGATTAAATCAATGATATATAAAGATCTTAAAATCAACATTATTATTAACTTCAACTAAAGTACATTTTAATAGCGTGCACAAATGTGTTAATTGCCATGCACCTGATGTTTGATACTGTTTACGTTCAATTTCAGCTATTTTGGGCTAAAATCTTATATTGAGTAAACTATTTTTTATGATTTGCTTTGATTTAGTATTTTGGAGAAATCCTTGAAAAGGTCAAACTTGAAAAAAAATTGTATTTACATTTTAAATGTTTGCACACAACATTATTTACTTTTGAACCGATGTTCACTTTTCTATTTTTCTATTTCCTTGATGCCTGGGAAATATGTCCAGCCTGTAGTTCAACATGCACATTTTCTATACAAGTATAAGAATAACATGAACAAGTTAATTTCCTCTCTCTCCTCTTTTAATAACACAATCAAATCATCTTTAATTTTCCCATGACCTTCACTCCCAGGTTATGGTTTGCATTTTATACTTGTATCCAGTTTGGACAGATATGTTTGGGGGAAAAAGCTCCTTTAATGGCATAATGGGTGAATCTGTATACCCTGCTAAGTCAGTAGTATTTTAGTTACATTTATTTTATACATTAAAGGAAAAAGCAAACTCAATAGTGGACCAAAAATTGGACTATGTCATGTATTCTTAAACCTCCTGTTATCCTGAAATTAACTTTAAACCCTTTATTCTTTGGGGTCATTTGACCCCAGCATTTTGAGCCTCAAGAACATTTATCATATTCAAAATGTATGTTTCAGGTTGTTCATTCGAATACAACATTAAGCCCATGCCCCCCCACCCAACCCATTATAAATCCAGAATTCCTATTATGTGAAGTTCGAAACATATATGTGACCTGCTCCATCGAAATCAGTCGCATTGACCCGAAGACACATTTTGAGTTGTATACACTGTTGGAAAGAGGAGATTCCTAGCTTTCTACTGATATCACTACAGGATTGTTTTTGTACTCCAAATATTAAGCAAAATATGTCACATTATATAATGACTGTCACCGAGTCATCATTTTGAGAAAAAGGCCTTCAAAGTTTCCTCTTCTCTGGAATCCATCGATCTGATTGATTATTAGCGGAGCAAATGAGCTCGCGAGTGTGTGTGTGTGTGTGTGTGTATACGTGTTGTTGTGTTTGTTTCCCGGGGAAAACACTCACGAGAAACACCAGCTGTTATTAATGCCTGTAATTATTGTACTCAGGAGGGGAGTTTGACAGGGTATTACTCAAAAAGTACACGATAAAAGTACTTCATTGTACTTGTGGTAGTAGTCCAAGTAGTACTCTGTCCAGCAGTACCACTTTCACTGAGAACTTATGGCAAAAAATCATTTTATCTCTCATCAAAGATGGCAGAAAACATACATTATTGTACTCTGGAGGGGAGTTTGACAGGGGATTCCTCAAAGAGTACACGATAAAAGTACTTCATTGTACTTGTGGTAGTAGTCCAAGTAGTACTCTGTCCATCTACAATTCTACATCAATAGTTTAGGTGAAAATGTGGATGAAGCTACTTTACATTTTTATGCGGATGATACCGTGATGTACTGTGCAGGTCCCTCGATTAAGGAGGCGGTTGTTAAATTACAGGCTGTTTTTAACATTATTCAGACTCAGCTCTCAGAGCTTAAGCTTCTTTTAAATGTTGAGAAAACCAAGGTAATGCTCTTTTCTAAAGCTAAAAAGACTCCAGAGACTGCTTTGGATATTGTTACTATGCAAGGACAAGTACTCGAAGTGGTTACCTGTTATAAATACCTTGGTATCTGGCTTGATGATTGTCTTACTTTTAAACTTCAGGTCACTAATCTGCTTAAAAAGCTGAGGGTTAGACTAGGTTTCTTTTTTAGAAACAAGTCCTGTTTCTCTTTTGAAGCCAGGAAAAGTCACTGTGACCTTTTTACCTGTGCTGGACTATGGTGATTTGATATATATGAATGCACCTGCCCATTGCCTGGAAAGGTTAGATGCCGCCTATCACACATTTTTATTTCAATAAGAAATTTGTAAAAAGAAAGACGTAATATTCGTTTTGTAATTGTACAGTGTGCAACTTTAAGATCCTAAACATTATTCTGTAGTGGTTAATGTATTGGAAAATCTGAATTTTGTGGCTGCACTCCAGATAGATTAAAAAACAACATTTTAGGATCATCGGAGTATACAAATAATAGATTTAACTGCTCCAGTCGGTGTCTGCAATAATATTAACCATTCCCTGACTCTGAAACTGAAGCAGCTAAATTAAATTAAACAATAATGTTGTGCAATCATTTTAATCATTTACAAATGTACTGCAACAAGACAACATTTCTTCTGTGAGTTAAGATTAAGGGACAGCCATTTATGTGATTATTTATTCTATTAACTATTTTGTTAACTGTATATATATCAAATACACTGAAAAAAGCCAATCACTTTCAATAACTTCGTTTTTGCTACAAATGATCCAATAGTTAACATTTGGAATGTTGTCTTGATAAATTACTAAAATGGTGTATTATAATTGTTGCCAATCCTTTTTTGGTATCTTTAAATCTCTGTTAAGTTTACATGAAAATTACCTTTAGCAGTGTCTCAGTGATCATTCTTCCATCATTCACAGCCATATTTAATATGTTTAAGAAGTGTACACCAACACACATACTCAAGTATTTTACACAGTATTTGACTGATTCGAGATGATTGCCCTAGAAGTCAATATTTACAACATTTTAAGACTTAAGCTCACCCCGGACACCAAGGTAAAAAATACAAGCAGAACAAATGCTTGAAAAAATACCAAAACGGTTCATTAGGTCTTTTAATTGTTGTACAAAACAACATTTTAAACAAAATAACAATGTCTACAACCTCTTAAAAAAAGCGACACATACAAAAAGTTTAAGTCACGTGAAGAGGTTTCTCAATATTGTCCTTTCTATGTACTCAAGATATCCAGTACAGGCTGACATACTTCTGTCTTGTCCTGGACATAATACATGGGTCCACTGTTGAAGAGGATCTCCAGAGGATTGTCAGTGTCACTGAGCCTCCTCTACTTGAATTGGTTATCAATGAGGGTGCCCTTCATCATCTTCGCCTTCTTGACGTCCAGTTCCGCCAGCTCCTGCAGCCTCTTCTTGCTCATGCCCTTCCTCTCCAGCTGCTTCTCAATCACCATGGCGTTTTGAGCGTAAGAGTCCGCGATCTCCCTGGCCTCGATCTCCTCCTCCTCTTCGTCGATGGTGGAGACTGTGACGGAGCTGAACTTGCCCATGTCTTTGGTCCTCTTGGTCATCATCACACGGACTTTCTTGGGAGCCTCCGGCTGCTTCTGGCTGTAGACGCTGGTGTTGCCGAAGTTGCCGAACTTCACCACGGCTCCGTCCACGATGAAGGTGGCCGGGTGGTTCTTCGCCTGGTGCTGGTAGAAAAGCAGCAGGCCGCACTTGCCGCACTTCTTGCGGTACTGCCTCTCGATGCCCTCGGCTCTCTTCAGGTACGCGTTTTCGTCCTGCTCCACGTTGCAAAACTTGTGGGCATGTTTGGCCGCATCGATAACCCTGGCTTTGTCCCGGGGTCTCATGGGCAGCTTCTCCAACTGGCAGTCCAGCACCAGCACCATCTGCCCGCACAGGCAGTAGTAGACATGGAGAGGCTTTTCTCCGTCGTCGTACTCCTCTCGGTCTCTGGTGTCCGAGCAAACCACACTTCTCGACACGACCTTCGGCATCTTTACACACTAAAATATGTTAGAAAGCTAGAAGTGTGTAATTAAATGTTGATGTTAAAACGCCATGACGACGAAAACACTGGTTGAAATGTTGCCTTGTTGAACACGGATACGAGGAAACACTTCCGGTGTCCGTCACTATTACTGTTCCTACCCGAAACTTGGGTCATCTTTTTGTTCCGCATCATTTAAATGTTCCGCTGAGCCCTGGGTAAATAAACCATCTGGTTGCGTCATGTCCACATTTCTTACCCCCCGCAACAAATAAAACAAATACATGCATATCACATTCGGGACGTTTGATAATCCAAGGTAAATCTGATGGATTGCATTGCAATATAAAATTGGAAAATATCATGTTTATCATCCACTGAGATGAATGTATTAGTTTCAGAGTGTTATGGAGCTCTGAGCCCAAATTATGAAATGAAATGTATATCTTTTTTTACATTACATTGTTAGACGCTTTTATCCAAAGCGACTTATTCAGTGTGGACAATCCCCACCCCAATTTGGGGTGAAGTGTCTTGCCCAGGGACTCAACGACATGCTGACTGCAGTGAGACTCCAACTAGCTATCCCCTGAATCGAAGTCCAGCACACTATCCACTGAGCTACATCCTGTTAGGACTGGTGTTGTGTTGCTATCCTTTGACTTAAACCAAAGGTCAACATTTTCACTTAATCATTGTTGCTCTTCTCGTAAACGGCACTGCTTTATTTTGTAATTAAATGTTTTTGGGAATATTACCTTTTGGCACTTTAGTTTTCTAAGCATCATCAAGTATTCACTTTTGCTTGACTTAAATAGCTTATTAAAAAAAGGAACAGTACCGATGGTAAAATCAGGCTTGAACATTGCTGCCTTGACACACAACTTCATCTTTGTATTCTGCCTCCATGCGAGACTGACCTTGGTCAGATGACTTTATACTGCAGCAGCACATCTGAAGCTCAACACCTCAGCTCATTTTACACAAGCTTGAAACCCCCCACACACTGGTTTGACTAGTTTTAGTTAAACCAAGACGGCACAATAATATCAAGTAAATTAATTTATTTCGACATTGAAAACAAGTACAAAAAAATTATTATTATCTGAAGACATTCACAACAGCAAATTTAGTCAAGGTAGTTCATAAGGGCTCCATCCCAAAGGCAGAAGCGGGCAGAGGTCAGGCCCTTCACTGACAGCAGCTTGTGTCACAAGTCTTCCCTTTGCACACACAGCCAGAGGCGCATTTGGTGCAGCCGGATGGGCAGCATGGGCAGCAGCCTGCAAGAAGGAAAAAGTGTTTGTGTCAGCCCAGTAGTCAAGTCATCTTAAGTCTGAGGAAGAAAAACCCTCAGGCAGCTGTCACCTTTATCCAGTTAGCTAAGATACCAAATACACCAAATACTCCTTGTAGGTTCTTAGAGCCTTTTAATGCCACAGTTAAACTTTATGCACATGGAATTCCAGTGTACTCAAAGTGTTAAGAAACTGTAGTTTCATGTGGTTAAACTAGGTGTAGTATGATAAGAAACTGCTTTTGAGCCAAAGACAATAACCAACATTCGGTCAACTTTGAATAGCAGCTCATTACCCCAATAGGAGCCACCTGGGCAGTTGCCTTAAGCAAAAAAGGTGACACCGGATACATTCAGCATCAACTATAATCATGAAGGAAACATAAAATCGTATGCAATTGATTCTGTAAAAAATATTGAAGAGGACAAATTGCACCCAATAGGCACTGTGAGGGACAATATAATGCAAATATATTACTCTTGTTATGTAATCGATTTATGGATGTCTTGGACTTACTCTTCTTGCAGCTTTTGCAGGAGCAGTTTGTGCAAGTGCAGGATCCTCCGCAGTTGCAGGTCCCACCTGGAAAACAAAATAAAGCCAGGTCAGCTTCATATCGTCCAGTAGACAAAGAAAAACATTAACGTTTCAGCTGCTACAAACGTTAACACCGTAAACAACACTTACTCTTGGAGCAGTCGCAAGGGTCCATGTTCTCAGGTGATGTCTCTTGTCCTCGTGAGTAGGTGCAGTGTCTTCGGTCTGAGATGAGAGCGTGTTGTGAGCTCTGGAAGATGGGCGGTGTTTTTAAAGCCTTCTGGGAACAACAGGACCGGGTGCAAACTGCGCCTGTCACGCTGCACGCGGGCACGTAGTAGATGATTACAAAGACGTTTGTGCACACGACTTCATGATGAGATATTCAGAGCAGGAGGAATGTCTCTGCTCCCGACACCAATAGGAGTTGGCGTTTTGTGTGAACCTTACAAAAGACCCCCCCCCCCTTGAAACACTAATTAATGTGTTTACACCATAGACTGTTTATATAAATGGAGAAAAACATGCATTGACTTAAGGGCAGTGACACAGGTTACAGTTCACTAGTAGTAATATTTCCTCTTGAGTGAGACCTTGGGACTATAACCAATTTGTCTCAATTACCAGTAAAGTGAAGAATTAAGCACTGTATTTGGAGGATATTTAAGTGGAGACATTATTACGATACGCCCTGCACATAGGCCAACTGTATCTATCATGTGCTCAGATTGCGCACGGATTTACGACGAATGCTTACTCAACATGCTTTCACGGGTGCAAGACTTCAGATACATTGTTTTTTCCATCGAAGTTAAATTAGTTTAGTTTTTTAGGAAACATTTGGTTCCGAAAAAGAGGTATGGATAAGCTACCATTAAATGCATCCTGAATGCCAAAAGCATAATAGTGAATCAGCCTTTCCACGTGTTGTTTTTAAATCGTTTTTTAACAACATATGCTTAGTTTTTGAAAGGGTTATTTGTTTGTCTCTTTGTGTATTGCACACGATTTTGTAAAACATTTTTCATTCATATATTAACCGTAGGCTATTATAATTCCCTTCTTTTATTCTGAAGGTCAGTTGTATTTCCGGAGACCTTGCAAAAACAAAGGCTATCGTAAATATATAGGCTACATTGCATATGCCTTTACAATCAAATAACATTCAACTGTTGTTAATTGACCATGTGATCCGTATGGGTTCCGGAATTGTATAATTATAAACACATAAACACATTGGTCTTAAAGTCTGGTTATTTCTCGACAGTAAAAAATGTCAAGTCATAGTGACTTTGAACTATTCAAGATGAACATTGCATGCGTGTAGTTTCGGTCGAGTTGTTTCCTTCACCAAAAGGAATGTTCTGTAATGTTCCTCGGTGTTTTAGGGTCCGTGTCTGCACACGGCAAAAACAAACTGCCAAACGCGCCCCCTCCCGCTGCTCTGCACCCGGCTGCTTCAACAAGCCCTCGTGAGCAAACCAAAGTAAATAAACCATTGTAATATGCTGCCTTTACGTACGATGTGCTGTAGGATAAATCTTATTCACGATAGCACATGACATACAAGTTGTGGCTTGATACTACGGCGACTACAGCCTCCAAACCAGTCAGCAAAGTGTCAGCAGTAGCCCAGTTATGGCTGTATGAATATGTTTGTTTGTCACGTTTAGCTAGCACACATTCAACAGGTGGTTGTCTTTTTACCTTCACTGTGCTAGGATGTAGGATTTTGTGGTGGGGTCCTGAAGGCAGCATTGTCCTTTTTCTTTGCGCTCGCCACTTTCCGGCTTGGTGTTTTTCCACACAGGTTATTGCTAAACATGTCAGTGCGTAAGGAGAATAGACCGTTCATGGTAATGAGCTGACTGATGGGAAGTGACCGAAATAAATTATTTAGAGCTGAGTGCAACTTTCCCCCCCAACTACAGTAATTACAAGACAGTCCACAGGAGTAAATACACAGCAAAGGTTATAAATAACACACGTATAAACATTTTTATAGTATTATTTGTTTACTAAAACCAAGAGGTCGGAGAGGTACTGAGATCTTGTAATTGAGTAAAAGAAGAATTACGAAAGTGTAGAAATACTATGTATGTTACAAGTAAAAGTCCTGCATTCAAAATGTTACAAGTAAAAGTACTAAAGTATGAGCATCAACATATACTTAAAGTAGCCTACCAAAAGTAAAAGTAGTTAGGCCTATTATGCAAATAAGTCAATTTCAGAATAATATATGATATGTTTTGATTATTGCAAAGCATTATTGCTGGGGGGGCAGCATCAGAGCCGGTGACACCAGCAGGATCAATAAACTGATCAGGAAAGCTGGGTCAGTCATCGGCATCAAGCTGGACCCCTTTGAAGCTGTGGTGGAGAGGAGGACACTGAACAGGCTGTTGTCCATCATGGATAACCCCACCCATCCTTTCCACCTGCAGCTGGACAGTCAACGGAGCTCCTTCTCCAACAGACTGCTGCAGCTCCCCTGTCTCAAGGACAGATACTGGAAAACATTCCTGCCCACTGCAATAACACTGTACAACAAATCACCTCTGGCTGGAAGAGAACTCTCTGCTCCATAGTTTCTCTTGAAATAAAACCACGTTGTACATTTTACTCATACATAATCTGTTTCATATTTAATACTCCATATTCCATATATTTTGAATATATATATATATATATTTGTATATATATATATAATATCTGCATGTATATTTTCTATTTCGACATGTATATTTTATATTTTATTTTATTTTCTTTCTATTGTATATTTTGTAGTTTTGTTTTATTGTAAAATGCCTTTTATGCTGCTGTAACAAAAACAATTTCCCAATTTGGGATCAATAAAGTACGATCTATCTATCTATCTAATTATTGATGCATTAAAGTGTTATCAAAGCTGGTAAAGGTGCAACTAATTTGAATGACTTTGTATACTGAAGGGTAGCTTGTGAATTTACTCCAGGTGTAACTAAAGTCTTTAAGTGTTATATTATATTTTTAATAATTAATCCAAATCTGTAAAGTAATTTAAGGTGCAAAATAAAAGTATTGGAGTAAAGTATACGATGATTGAACATCATCGAGTCTTGATTCCTTATATTGTTCAATAATATAAAGATTGGGTTCATGGCTTTCAAGAAAGTTATCATGTATCATTCATGTTTTGTCTATGAATCCTATGTCACTGATTGTAGAGCGTGCACACTGCACAGAGAGGTGCTGTTGCTTTCAGAGAACTCTAGAGGGAAACGTATACACATTATTAGACAATAAGAGTTTTCCTTGTGCAACAGTTTTGAAACTTGGTTCTAGGTACCCATACAAAAAAAGGTAATCTACATTTGACCTTGCATTGTAACATCTGCAGAAAAAAACATATATGCAACAGCTAGGCTATGAATGAAACTAATAATTTATCAATTAGAAATGATTGAATGGAAAAGTGTAGGATGCCAAAAGCATGTACAAGCAAGGCATGCTACAATTTGTTTGCATAAAATGTAAACTATGTTGTTTTCTTTCTTGCTCTGACAGTGTACACATTTGTATTCTAAAGGTTGGAAGTTGTGACATACGGATCCTTAACAAGACAGATCTAATGTTCTACAATCATTAGGAGGGAAATATTTTTCAAACTCTTAATTCTTACTTGTGTTGTGTGCATACGTGTTGGATGATGAACGTGGTGTGTATGTAAAGGGCAGAGTTCAAGGGGAATTTGATCCATAGCTACCGCATAGCTAACCCTGAATGACATGCTCAATACCCTCACAAGCTATTTTACCTTGCATTAAAACAGACCAAAAAAAGGCATTGCAAGGTTTATTTGTTATAATGCCATAAAGTCATCAGATGATTTCACTTGTCTCATTTGATCTATTATGACATAATAAAAATTTAATTCATTTTTATTATTATAAGCACATTCAGTTTCTTGTAATCACAATTTACAATTCCTAATATTGATTTAAGAAAATAATTAAAAAGTAATCATTTTAGAAAGATTATGTCACTCAAACTAAATAAAGCACAGATCTGACTGGAAGAAGTCCTGCTGTCACTGAGCTCCTTGTTATTTGCTGAGCAGGCTGGGATCTTATTCCACAGACCGCATGGGTCTCTCTCGATCACCCCCAAGCCTCCTGACGCAATAAAATGAAGCAAAGAAGACCAGCTTCTCGAAAAAGTTTTTCTTTGAATGCATGTTAAATCTACATCAGGCAGTGGTCCATATGCCACTAAACAATTGACTTCACTTGCCTTCGGTCACAAATCATATGCTGTGTAAGGAAGGAGGACTAGTCCGTTTGATAGGAGGCTGCACACACTTTTTGACGTCCTAAAGCAGGTCAGTTCAGCAGCAATATTATACGATGGGTTCTTTGAAAGGCCAGGCATGATACTCTTTGAAAGCATCAAACAGCTTTTGGGAATTTCTTGCAAACACAGAGTTAAAAACTGAAATAATTTGAGTTATTAGTTATTAAGACATGAGTGAATTAGTTAGAATGTGCATGTGATACATTTTGTATCGAGTTAATTGTTTTTCATATATTCTTATGTTTGAATATGGAAATGAGACAGTGGCTGTGAGGGAGTGCGGTCGTCTTTCAACCAGAAGGTTGTGGGTTCGATCCCAGCCCATGCAGTCAAGATGTCGATGTATCCTTGGGCAAGATACTTAACCCTGAGTTGCTCCCGATGGCATGGCCAACGGTGTGTGAATGTGTGTGAATGTTAGGTCCTAGAGTAAGGTACACTGCTCTGTATGAATGGGTGAATGACATGTAGTATGTAAAGCGCCTTGAGGGGTCTTAAAGATGGGATAAAGCGCTATATAAGTACAGTCCATTTACCATTTACATGATCTAATGCTAATTTGGATGAATTTAGGGGAAATCTACAGACACAAATAGACAAAGGTATTAAAATAAACATCTCAATGTGTATTTTAGGATACTTTCTTTGCCTTCAGTGTCTCACCTTAATTAAATCAGATATAGTCCCTCGAAAAAGATGAAAAAGGTCAAGCTGAGATATTGCTAGAATGACATCACTTCACTTGCAAGCAGATTGATATGTACAGCTTCTCTTTGGTTGTATGGTAGACTGATTCCAGAACAGAGGTGTGAGTGAATCACTGTTGAATAGTCTGATTGGGTGTGAGGGTCATTAATCATGTTAAACAGAGCACACCATGCAGCTTTTGATAAGCCCAGAAACTAGCAGTGCAAAGAGGTGAAGTCCAGTTAACAAGGAAATGATTCTAAAAAATAGCCAACAGTTGTATTAAAAGATTGTTTCAAGATGTTATGGCATGAGTATATGAGTATATATACAGTATATGACTAGCCATTTATACAGGTATGATGCTTTTATTTCACTGTCCTAACTATCCCTGTGTTTTTACATGGTTTACATGTCGCTCTCTTCGCAGATTGTGCAATGGATCATGTGCTGAACATTGCTGACAGCTACATCTTCACTCCGTATGTTTACCCGGCCTCATGGTCGGAGGAGGGGGCCCTGCGTCAGATAGTCAGCCTGTGGCTGGTGACCAACCTGGGAGCGGTGCTGCTCTTCCTGGGCTGTGGTGCTCTCAACTTCTACTACGTGTTTGACCATAAACTCATGATGCATCCACTGTTTCTCAAGGTGGGTTGTTTGTTCAACCTTTTGACCTGGTTTAAAAATGTTCCCTAGGAAACCAAATCGATGTGTCAAAAACTGCCATACAATAAGCCCTCTTATATATTTCTTTGCCACTTCACTTTGAAAATAAAACGAAACCCTACATTTGAATTACTTTCTTTTTACTAATCTAAGGAGGACTTTTTTTTCACAGTCCAAGATTTGTCAATAGTTAACATCATGGATTTTGATACATTTCATGAAGCACACAATACAGCAGCAATGACCAAATTGGATACCAGGACAATTGCATCTGGGCAAACATGATAAAATGGCAAAATCTTTTGGAAAATACAAATTTCAATGTTGAAGCCATGACTCTAAATTAACAGCCTTATATAATAAAATGTGTGATGTTAAGAAAGATTTATTATTGCAGACCTGGTGACAATTCAAAGCAAACTTCTCCCACACCTTAACTTTGTCTATCTGATCCAACAACAGAACCAGGTAAAACAAGAGATTGAACTATCAATCATCTCCATTTTCTGGATGAGCTTCCCAACAGTGGCCATTTTCTTCTGGGAGGTCCAGGGAAACAGCAAACTTTTCGACAACATCAGCGAATCTTCTCTGGGTAAGACAACCGTTAAAAACCAGGCTTGAACCTTAGGTGAAATTAAAGGTTATCTAATTATAATCACCAATGGAATATTACTTGTTTGTTGCAATAGGTCATACACAATGATTCCTAATGAGACTTATTAGCCATTGGTTTGTTTCTTTCTCAGGCTGGCCCGGGGTGTTCCTGAGCATTGCTGGTTTCTTGTTCTTTACTGACATGTGCATCTACTGGATACACCGCTTCCTGCACCATAAGAGCACTTACAAGGTGAGCCTTAGCATGTTAATCGCTGGTTCGTAGCAACCCTAAACTATATATTTATATAAACATTTATCAAATTAGTGTATATGAAACAGGTCAGTTGTTGTGATGGACCCACTGAGAATTAACATCGAACAGCTCTACAAAACATTTGAGCATTTCAGCTTGTTTTTTTTTTAAACAATGTTTAAGTTCAGTCTCACAGCTCTCGTCATCTGTTCTCCTCAGTTGCCCCTTTCACACCAACGCAACTCCGGTTCAAGCTCCGTGCTAGAGCTTTTCTGGTTCAGAACCGGTTCTTCGGTTTAGCGCCGGCTCTTTTCACACCGCTCAGAGCCCGACTGGTGCTGCCGCTGCTGCGTCATGACGTCACAGTTTACGTCGCTGAGTTTCTCCCCAACGCCGGAGCTCACCTCACAACAACGAGCCGGGGACTGCGTTGCTTTTAATCATACGAAGCCAGATTAAATTAAATAACGACTTCTCCAACCTTATACTTTTCTCCAGAGTGCCGTGGTTCATTGTTTATTAATGTGTTTCAGCGGCATTTACCGACCGCTGCAGTGCTGGCCGGCTGCTCTTCCACGAGTGTATTCTCCCGTTAGCTCCGGGTTAGCTCACACGGCTCTAAAGTATTCACTGTCTGACTGTCACACAAGCAGCTGATACATATCCCCAGTTCCCCTTAAGTGAATGTGTGTCAGTCTGAATTGACGCTGTTTGGTGTCAGTCTGAATTGACGCTGTTTGTCATCACAACGCTGTTATGAAAGTTTCTCTGGTATAACATGGGTGATGTTAGCATAGCAACCGAAGCTAAACTGACTACTTGCTAAGCAGTTTTCTACAGGCACTTTTTACCGACGTATTTTTCATTATGATTCTACTTGTGATAGTCGGACATGACAACCTGTGCAGCCCATGTATTGATTCCATCCGATAGCTGCTATAATAACAAACAAAACGTCTGCCTGCTCTCCACAATGATCAATAACAGCGAACGGATGGTCAAAGTAAGGTACAAATAAACAGAATCACACGAAGCCTGGTTAGTGTTGCCTGACATTATAAAGTGTGTTTTTTTTAACAAGTGTGTGGTTGCGTTCTAGTCACTTTGCTCAGCACTACTGCTTGTTACAACTTTTATTTGCCGTACTCGCCTTAAGTGTTAGCTCAGGTTAATCTCGCCCCCCTCCGACGTAAGCGTGACGTATGCGGTTCTTGCTTCTAGACGGACAACTTTTTGGTGCTCGAAACGAACCGGATTCCGGAGCTATGACGCTGCTCCGCTGCGGTGTGAACAGGAAAACCCGGTGCTTTTCAAGCACCAGCACCGAACCGGCCCTGAAACACCGTTGGTGTGAAAGGGGTAAGTGAGCTGCTGTTTTCAGACCTGATAAACCTGCTGGTCCGCTGCAACTCCAGGCCGAAGACCTCTCTTTTTGCTACTGCTTTTAATTGGACTATTGATATCTCACACTGTAACTTGTAATAATGTATTTTATACCTGTGTTATTCTATATTAGCTTGTTTTATGTTTATTTTATTCTCTTTCCTTTTTAATGTTAGTTTTAAATGCAATTTTAAAATGTGTTTCCGCCTCACTACTTTAATGTTTCCATCCGGAATCACCATGCTTTCTAATTTCACCACTTTATGTACCTTGGGAGCCTGATATGTGTTATTTCTGACTGAAACATTCCTGTTATTCAGACTGTGTTTCTCCCCCCTCAGCATTTACATAAGCAGCACCACATATTTAAGATCCCTACACCTTTTGCCAGCCATGCCTTCCACCCGCTGGACGGCTTCCTGCAGAGCCTTCCCTATCACATCTACCCGTTCATCTTCCCCCTCCACAAGGTGCTGATCTAATTAGGACTACAAGTTAAACTGCATATTTCACAATAATGTTCGTGACATTTGCTGGAAATGTAGCATATGAAAAAAAGTTAAATAAGTACATTATTGACCGATGTGAAATCTTTGTCAAAAATATGCAGACACTTTGTGAATTGGGTAACATTTATATTTTTTCCCAAGACTTTAATTAACTGTAAAACGTTTTAAGTGACATTTGGGATTTTTTGAATTACAGGCGGTCTATCTGTCACTTTTCGTCTTTGTCAACATCTGGACCATTTCCATACACGATGGAGACTACCGCATCCCCGGCCCCCTGATATGTCTGATCAATGGCGCTGCTCACCACGTAGACCATCATCTCTTCTTCAACTACAACTACGGACAGTACTTCACGCTCTGGGATCGTATCGGGGGCTCCTACAGACACCCCTCAGCCCTGATGGGGAAGGGGCCACATGACCACATCTGCAAGCTCATGGCAGAGGCTGCACACACACAGTGAAGATCCAGATCCAGTCTGGATGTCACTTTTTCACTCTAACCTCTCAGGGAGGCTCCTACAGTGATGCTTAGGAAAGAGACAATTGCATCAGATGCAAACAACTCAAACTAAGTGAGTTGGTAAGTAAGTTGTATGTAATATGAATACAACATAATTATGGGGAAATATGTTTTTGTAAAAGATAATGGTTACATGCCAGTTGGCTGGAAATAACACTGAAATAATGAATAGTGAATAAAAACCAGCAAACTAAAGGCATACTTAATTTGTATGTGTTAGGGTTTTAACCAAGCTCTTGTAGCGATCTCTGATTTGAGAATCCCAACTTCATAAAATCAGGGCAATGTTTCTTTGTAATAGGATTGATGGACGTTTTTTTTTACTAATCGAACACAGTATCTGTGTGTTTGTCCACCACTGTCCTCACTTTCCAGATTCAAAAGCAAATGACAAAAAACTCAACAGATGACAGAGGCAAGGCAATTGTGTGTGGCCCTTTTCCATTTATGTTATTACAATTTATTTATGAAGAATGGATTAGAAACCCAATAACAATGCAAACATACATTTTGCCTCATCCCTGCTTAGCTGGAACTTGTTGTGTATATACTTCAGTAAAAATGCAAAAAGATGGTGAATTGCATGGGTCTGAATCCAGTGTCCATCTGCATGTATGTATGTTTATGTCCCACAGTCTGATTCCACATTAGACTTTCAGTTGCCAGTGCTCGGTGTGTTTTCGTGCAGGCTCTGCAGGGCGAGGTCTGTCCACTTCATCTCTTGCTCTTTCACAGACTCTGTGGAACCTCCATTGTCCTGCTCAGCCTCAGGCAATTCACTCTGACAGAGAACAGGGGAGACAGGATGCCATGAATAAAAGGAGCAATTCACTCTATACTTAAATCAACATTGTAATAGTGTCAAGACGAAATCGGAATATTTGAGGGGAAGCAAAATATTGTAAAATGTAAACAGACTATATAAGATGCTGTTGTTGTTGCTAACATGAATGTGTTTGTAATACCAGAGGGATGGTGACATCTTCATACGGCAGCTTGTCTTCCCTCCAGGCATCATCAGTGAGATCCAGGACTCTCCCATCTCGTTGGATTTCACTGTCCATCTTCCGAGCAGGGCCCTGTTCAAACTCACAGAATGTCTCCCCTGACAGAGTTAGTTAGCTTCAAGCTAACTGCAACACTGCTGCAGAATGTGCAGATACCTGGTTCCCTGCTACTAGTTAACATCCAAACAACCATAAATGGTCAGAAATACATGGTAAACAATGTATTCGAAAAATATGTGGTTTCAGTTTGTAGTTTTCAGAAGGTTTTTATTTACTTTTAACCGCTTCACCAATGCATATCAGAAGTAGTGCGGTAATTATACGTAAACATCCGGCGCCTAGTGATGATGTCGATTAATGACGCCTTCAAGTACTGGAGAAAATTGGAAACTACTGTATCAGTTACACATAGATACATTCTACATATTCTTCTCACAGTCCATTAAAAATACAATTACGAACAACAACAACATCCACGACAACAACAATGATGTTTAATGACGGTTTTATGCGAGTATACAAAAGGCTCCACAGAAGTAAAACGCCTCCTGTTTCAAACGAATATAAACGGCCATCCCACGTATTGTTTTGCGGTCCCCATGGTAACCAGATTACTCTTCTTTGAGCTGTGTACCGGCCTCAGACTAACGAAACCAGAAAAAGACGTCCCATTCCTTGTCTCTGGTTTACTGCAATTGAAGGTAACTTTATTTAATTGATAACAATTGTACTACATGCAACAATAAGCTTAGTTAATTAAGGGTATTTTACCATCTTGCCATGGAGATATCTCTACATGTTGTTCGGTGTGACCAAGTTTTTTCTTTTGAAGTATATGGGACTACTTCATTTATTCCTACTCGTTCAGTGTTAAAGACTCAACAAATCCTTCTATAACTATACAAATGTAGGTTATTTCAAACGAAATGAGAGAGCACCTTAGTTTTTCAGAGCACTGCCAGTTTTAGACATTCATTCAGAATGAGCTTGTTTATTTTTGCATCATCATGTACTAAGGCTGTGGTTTGTGAATTCTGATGTATATTTCTTATTACAGGCACTGCAATGATGTCAGCTTCTCAAGAAAAGCAGGTGGAAAATACAGAGCCGTGTGCCAATCCTGGAAACCCAGTTTTCTCCTGCATGTTGACTTCAGAAATGAAAGGAAGACACCTAGCGCTGTGGTCCAAGACCCAGAATCCACTGTACAGGACAACTTCCAGTGACTATGGTCTTCGCACTCAAACCTCTGGAACCTCGCCCCGTGCTTTCTACCCTAAATCACAAAAATTCACTGAGGAAATTAGAAAGACTGGGCTGTTTAGTGACAACTCTCTCAATACTGCCCTTGACCGAAGCAAGGTGTATGACTGTCCCGATTTACAGAACACCATCTAAATGCATGATTGACTGTCAATTCAGCTGTGTTCTCTTATTCATGAGAAGTTTTGGTTTAGAATAAATCACTATGTAAATGGGAAATGAAAGCCTAAGCAATTTATTAACACACAGCTATCTTTCTCTTTTCATTGTTAAATCCTGTAGAGAAATGATTTATGTCTGACAATCACCTACATCTTAAACAGGTGATATTAAAGCAGTTAGTAGTTAAGCCCTGACTGTACATTTCACATATTTGTAACACTACATCTTGCTTTAATTTACCCAAATGACCAACCTTTGATTCTCAAAGGTTTATAAAAATAATGCAAATGTACAAATACAATCTTTCCATCCTCACATTGCCTGGCATATCTTTATAAATAAATAAATGATAACAGGGTGTTCTTACGTTGAATGTTTGACTATATATACACAAATAATAAAATCCAACATTGGTATGTAACAGCAATGCCTTACAAAATGATATTTATCTTGCAATGGAGCTTGTTCTTTTTCAATAAGCTACTTAAAAATACATGATATTAGTTTTGCCTTTCCTCTCCTTCAGTCCTTGGTGTCTGATGATTGCGTTCACGTACACTGGGAACATTTGCCCTCACAGTGTCTGGTAGCCATTTATTCGCTTTCATCTAATTTCTGATTTTGTTGAAATGTTCTTTCATACATTATTCAAACATTGTAGTAAAGCTCTAATTTCAAGGGTTTATGTTTTTACTGTAGTCTAATATAATTACTGTAGGCTATGCAGCTTTTTTACTCAAGTCAAAATATTGTGATAACTTGTTGCTTTAATGCTTGATTCTCGCCATATTTTTTCTGTCATCAAACAATATTATAATTTAAATATCATACACAATATATTTCAGTAGGTTTCAAATACATCCTTGATCATGAAAGAAAGACAGATTTTTGTATTTAACACAAAGGGGTCTTTACTGTATGTTGACGTTGTGTTCCACAGAAACCCTCCTCCTACTCCGCCAGCCGCGCCTCCGCAGCTACAGCTGATGATGGCCAATGCTACGGAACTTAGCAAACAGCTAGCGGTGTAGCGACGTTAACATGTGTACGACGTGTTACCTGGTCGTCCAATGAGTGTGATATATTAGAGTTCAGCAAAGGAGTGTTAAGGATCATAGACGGGTCATGTTAGGGTTCCCCTGTACTCCACCGGCGTTTGAGTATCGCGTGTAGCTCAATGCTAAACAGGTTAGCTTGCTTGTGTAGTTTGACAGTAGGATCAGAGGAGTGTCCAACTAACCGGGCTAACAGCTAGCTGCTTAGCTACAACACAACGTAGCTACTAGTTAGCTGTCTGTTTTGTAAACTATCCGGCCTTGCTCGACTGTGTGTATATGCTGCTGTTTTTCAAGAACTCATAACGTAAGTATACGCTTGGATTGAAATGTAATCAGTATAGGTTACTACAAATTGATAAGGGGAGTTGGTGAGACTTGGTTTTTATGTGGAACTGCTATCTAATGCTACATGTAAATGCCTGCTTTGATGGGTGGCTAGCTTGCGAGTTAGCTAACTTAAACTATATGTGTATAATACTATAACGTCCCAGTGAGTTGGTACATGACGATCTCATAACTGATATACTGAGGCTATGTGCTAAAGCAGCACAGCTATTTAAATACTAGACATCGGTCGGCCACTGTGCAAGAAATAAACAGCAACATGGACAAATGCTGATTTGGTTTAAATTTATTTTTTATATTATTGTATTTCTTTCAGGCTTGACATTTATCTCGTGGAGTATGTAACCTCAGCTAGTTTAAAGCTTTGCTGCAGACAAAAGGTTATCAGCTGTTAAACAGTTAAATAAGTAGCTCTCACAGACTAAAGTTGGGGGGTGAATTTCACTTTTTCTCTTTTCTGTTTCCACAGCCATCCCAGCCCTGGATCAGAACTGGACCTGAGCCTTGGCTGTATATGATGTTCAGAACTTTTTTTTGTTGCATCACCTGAGCCTTACTGGTCCATTTACCTGGCATTATTAATCACGAACCAATCACACATCTCTGCTTGGCAACAGTATGATCGCTCATGCTGACCCCACCCAGCCTTCTGGGACAAGAATATCCCAAAATCAAGCTCTCCAAATGATATGATAGTAGCCACCTGGATCACTTTTTATGCTTGCAGGAGCCTCGCACGGGTTCTGCTCTTCCTTTCCTCCTCCAACTGCCTTTGTCCATTCAGGGAGACCCTTGCGAGTGTGGTCTCCGGCACTGGAACCATGGGTAACAGCTGTGTGTGCCGGGAGGATAGTGACCTGGAAGATCATCACCATGGCTCGTCAAGGGCAACCCGAGGACAGGCTAGGCGGGTGGACCACGGTACCGGCGGGGGTGTTGATGCCGGAGAAGTGAGGAGCAGCAGACCCAGGGACCCTGTCAGGCCTCCACGCCGAGGGCGAGGGCCCCATGAACCAAGACGGAAGAAGCAGAATGTGGATGGTCTAGTGCTGGACACACTGGCTGTCATCAGGACACTGGTAGACAAGTAAGTCTCATGAGAGTAATGATATTGATAAAGATGAAATAGAGTCAGTGGTCTGTACAGTTTAAAATAGTTTTTCTATACATTTGACTATGATGTCTGTTGGGAATTCAGCCATGTGAAATACTACTATCGTCATTTTGGTTTAGAAAACGTAAGTACTTAAAGTTGTCGCAATTAGATGTGGATTAGGGATTGGAAGACTGAAACACCTTAACTTGAATAGTGCTCCAAGCAGCAGGTATTTGAAATTTTACCTGTGGCTTCAAATAGTTAGAACTCCTTAGAGAGGACTTTGAGTCATTGTTTT